TTTTTTTTTTTTTTTTTTTTTTTTTTTGTATAATAAACTGAAGGATAAAGTTTTTGTAGTAAGCTAGAGAACGTTTTTCTTTTTTCTTTCAAAAAATTTGAAGTGAGAAAAGAAAAGTTTTATTGAATTTCTAGACAATTTATGTCAACACCATACGCTTTAGATAGAAGAATGGATAGACGGACGGACGGACGGACGGACGGACGGACGGACGATAAAGAAATTTAATATTTTTATATTGTGAAATGAAAAATGCAAATAAATTCTATTTTATATAGGATTTTAGGTTAAGTGAAGTGGTTTAATGTGCTCTATAAACTCTGCCTTGCAAACGATAGTGAAATTTTTCCCCCTATCAAAATTGTTTAAACCAAAATTTAGCCAAAATTTTTTGGGCTTTCAGTTAAATAATAAAAGCAAACATCTAACCAAGAACAAGTCAAACTAAAAATTGTTAAAATAGAAGAAAGAAAGAAATTCTTAACATATTTTTTAATTTTTTTTTTGTTAACCCTTATCAGCCCATACTTGACAATCGTTTGGCAAGTGTCAATAAGGTAACACCTATCATGCTGCCAATCAATGCCAAAATAAATTTTGCCCCCAAAGTTTAAGCAAAGTCATATAAAATGATAAAAAATCATCATTATCATCATCATCATCATCATCATTATTAGTATTAAATAACAATTTGACATGCAATGTGTGTGCAATAAGTGTTGCTTTTTCTTCTTCTTATTCCCTCCTTTTTCAAAAGTGTGCATTATTCACATAAGCAGAAAAAAAAAAAAAAAAAAAACAGGGAAAAAGCTTTTTATATAACAACCTATCAAGTAAAATGAGAAAAACATTTCGACTCATTTTGGGGCTGTAGAAAATGGATCATCATAATTGGATTAAATGAAGGAGAAATCATATCCACGTGGCTCGAGAAAATATTTAAACGAAAATCGAAAATTAAAAAATAGTTTGAAATGATCAATTAGTATCTTAACTTTAGAAGGCATTTCTGGCGATGAATAATAATTCGCAAATTTTACGCATCGCGAGAGTGCAACACTTTTGATCAACAAGTTCGTAGGCTAACATATACTGACGAATTTTATATAATTTTTAGATAGTACCAGTACTTGAGATGAAATTTCTCAAAATTGCGACCATTAATCATATGGAATTGTTAATAGTCATCCTACGAACTTATTGAATGACATGGTATGCATATATATGTAATGTATTTTGATCATTTTTTTTCACTGGAAAAAGACATTACCTTATCATTGGCGCCGATAGTTGTCGCTGATCAAAATACATGCAAGCATCTACTTAATAATTACAAATCTGGATACTTTAAGGGTGGAATTCGCGATCAGCAAATAAATATGAAACTCTTAGTTACTGACTTAGCAAATAGAAAAAGAGACTAGTTTTTCTTGAAGAGAGAGCAACTAATGTCAAATATGCTGTTCATTTCCTTCCATGTTAAATTAGTGCACGAGATGTAGAGGGACTCGATTACTCAGTACTTTCAAAAATAAATCGAACAAAAACTTTGGCTCCAGTTTATCTTCCAAGTACAGTTTCTTGTAGCGCAACGTTGCAGGAGATTTGCGGCATACCGTGTATGCTAAAAATACAAGCTTAGGAATAATAATAATAAGGCGGCTACAAAGAGCACGTGTAAGTCTTAAAAGGTTAACTGGAGAGAGACTAAATATATATCACTTGAGTCCGCTCCGAAAGTATTGACTAATGTTTTGGGTGCATTATCGTATCATTATTCGAAAGTTTTCAAATAAAAGTTTTGCAGACGATATGATCATGCGAGCGGTTAACGTGCCACTGTCCGATTGCCTTCGTAAAATTATAATTTCGAAAAAGGCAGCAAAGTATTAGCTGAAGCTATTAAAATATGGGGCGAAATTACGCCCACCTTAAACTACCTACAAAAAAATGTATGTATAACTAGACCGGCTCTTCTACAAGTGCTAAGGTTTGCTTTGAAGGCAATGGCAACAAATTTTGCAATACGAATGAGTTATACATTTATTAAACAATTTACGAAAGACATCGTATGTGAAAGATTTACTAAAAACGTTTGCATACTTTTGTAATTTCTTGCAAAAGAAATATTTCGTCTTTTTGCGCTCACAGTGAATTTTTTGACTTTGACTTCTTCTACCATTGCGAGATGCGATGTTCGACTTTCATGCGTCTCATATCAAACAAACAAACATAAGTCGATTACGTTCGCACCTTACGCTAATCAATTTATTTATTATGCGATTTGTGTTTTACACATTTTCGGGTTGTGCCAAGCAAATATTAAACTGTCTATAAAAACTGTGCGAGAAAAAAAAAAAAAAAAAATTAGAATTTGAAACAACAACAGTCGTGTTCACTTAAACTGTCATTTAGCTGTCCATCAATGCAATTTTCAATGTCAAGATTCGCTGTTGTAGCATTCGACTAACTGCACTGTATACTTTGCTTAAGTGCGTAATATTTCGTATGCAGTATACGCGACATTTCTCTACAAAATTTTAGTCGAATAAAAGCATTTCACAGTGTTCAAGTTAAAATATCTTAAAAAGGTTAAAATAAATCTATATATATATATATTTATATCAATCACCAAAAGATGAGCGTCATATTCAATTTTGTCAAAAAGTTCGCAACCCCCAGAAGAAAACTTCAGCAGCGACCGCAAAAATGAAGATATCGGCTCACAAATTTGCAAAAAAACTTTGAAAAGGATCTAAAGTTTTCGAAGAACACGCATGCAACGACTCCACTTCTATGCAACGAAAGACTGTAAGACTGCAAGCACGTTTGCTTTCTATGTTTTCTGCTTTTTACTCATCGAGTACATGCAGCATATACACCATATAAATTTACATTATTATTCTCAGCCACGCCCTTTTTTTTGGTTCTTTTTTTTCCAATTTTTCTTAGAATCACGGTACTGGTGGGTATTGAAGATTCGGCCAAGACTGAATATAATTCTCTTAGTTGTTATTATTATATTTCTCTTTTGGCAAACTACCAACCGAGATGACATTTTGGCTGACAACCGCAGAGCACACAGTAGTTGAATTGAAAGCAATTATTATGCAGAAAAATGAACTTAATGTTTCGTTTCATCATCAGTCTTATTTTGAATTGTATGCTTGAACCGACTCGCTATCCTTAAGATGAAGATCAAAAGGGAAGATAGAAAGCGAGAGAGAGAGAGAGAGAGAGATGTGTTTAACCTCTTCCTCCTCAATGTTCCGATTAGGATTAAATTGACAATTAAAATGTTATTTTGATTCGAAAGTGATCTACTGACTCTGAGCGAACTTAAAAGAAGATACCGTTAAATGAAAAGCACTGTTATCTCTCTTATGCGAGAGCATTTACTGCGTAGCATATGTAAATGCGTAGGAACTGCAAGCACGTTTTAAGTGTAATTGCATTTAAATTCAAATAATCAAATACGTAATAATCGTTTATAATAAGTTGAACTTTTTTTATGAATTTTTTTTTTTTTTTTTTTTTGGTATTTTTGTTATATATTTTTTTAGTTATTGTTAGATCAATAAGTTTGCCTAGTTGTTAATCAATAGGAGAAAAGAAAACGAAAACTTATAGGCGCGCTACATATTTTTAGTATCTTTAGCTTTAGAGAAAGGAGAGAAGAGAAAGTAATGTATTTTGAAAGTGTATTTCTAAAAGAGTTATTATATAAAGCAGAAATCAGTCTTCAATTAACAAACAACAAGTAATCAAACAGATTTCTCTTTCAATTTGATTTTTAAGCTTTATCGAGAAATTGTTTCTTTTTTCTTTTTATTTTTTTATTTTTTTGCAATTTTTTCTTTTTAATAAGAAAGTCATGATTTAATATTATATAATATTCCTTGCTCCCTACAGGTCATCGGCTTACTTGGCAAGCTTATCATCGTTTAGCAGATATTCATGATTTCTTTGATTATTTGGCTAAAACCTATCCTGACATTTGCTCCGTTGAAATCATTGGTTACTCTTTACAGAAGCGACCTTTAAAGATTTTAAAGTAAGTTATTTCTCCCCTTTAAGGATCACGTTTAAACAGCAATTTTTTCAAGTATTTAACATATTTCCCCCTCCCCGCAAAGGATATCAAATGGCCAAGCGAGTAATCCTAGCATATGGATAGATGGTGGTATGCATGCTCGCGAATGGATAAGCCCGGCTGCCGTTACCTATATAGCTAATCAAATTGTCGAAGGTTGGGATGATTTGCCGGCATATATGCGTCAAATGAATTGGTATATACATGCGGTAGCCAATCCGGACGGTTATGAATATTCGCATACAACGGATCGTTTATGGCGCAAAAATATGCGTTCGCATGGTCGGCAATGTCCTGGCGTCGATTTAAATCGTAATTTCGGCTATAAATGGGGTGGTCGAGGCACCTCGGCTAATCCATGCTCGCAAACTTATCGCGGAACTAAAGCCTTCTCTGAACCCGAAGCCTTTTATATATCGAAATTTATTAGTAGCTTTCCAAAAGAAACATTTAAAGCCTATCTATCGTTTCATTGCTATGGCCAGTATATATTGTATCCATGGGGCTATGATTATTTGGACACTTCGGATATGGCCGATTTAGATTTGGTTGCTCGTCAAGCCGGAACGGTAAAATGATAATTTTTTATATTGAAAATAGCTTCAGCATTATTAAAAATATTATATATCGTTATCGCCATTTAGAGTATAGCTAAAAGTTCGGGTGTCAAGTACACTGTAGGCGCCTCGGCGAATACTTTATATCCAGCTGCTGGCGGCTCTGATGATTGGGCTAAGGGTATAGCGGAAATTAAATATGCGTATACCATTGAAATGGGCGATACCGGACGATATGGTTTCATATTGCCAGCATGTTACATTGAAAGTAATGGCAAAGATGCTTACACGGTCGTGGATACTATAACGCGTGCCATAACAATGGGCAAGAATAGTCGGCGTCGGCGTAAATTGAAATTTCGAAGTGGTTAAACGCCTGACGCCTGACGCCTGTTCGCGAAATTGTTGAAAAGTTTTTCTTAACTCGGATTATACAAAGTATAATCGCTTATATAACTTTTAGAGAAATTATTTATTCGTATTTATAATTAGTTAATTTATTTTTGAATATATTTACTTATTTATTTATTTATTTATTTATTTATTTCTTTAAAATACAATTTTTTTTTTTTTGAACTAAGAATAAAACGTTTAAAAACCATCTTTATTTTCAATATTTCTTTAACGCATATATCTTTTTTCTTAAAATGCTGTCGCCTTAACGATCTAATAATATTTCTGCATATGTAATATAATTTCACTGTTTACTTAATGTTATTACATCGTGCACATTTGAATTTCCACATAATATAAAAAATAAAGCTCTTGCTCTAAATGTAAATTCTTGAACGTTTGCTTTATGCTCTACATATTTCATGAAGATTACACAGCCACCAACAGTGGTCTCTTAAATTGCAATTCTGTGTTAAATACTTTAGAGTTTACTCTGAATGAATGTAACAAAAGTTATAATGAATTTAACACAAACATAATTTATTGTTGTTGTTGTTTTTTTTTTATAATGCATTGAGCATAAACTTAAACTCTCTTTGTACATCAGATACCGTTGGTAACGCGTTAGGTTCTTTATAAGAGAGATCATTTGGTATCAAATGTCGAAGTTATGCAGTGAATGGGTCCAAAAAATTTGCCACTTTTAGTAGCTTCAAAAATCATTTGCTGTACTGTAGTGAGATATGCTTTCTTATTATTTGAAGATTTTTATATGTGTCTGTTTGGCAATCATCCTGGCCACTTTGTGACCGCTATAGGGTATTCCTCTCTTCAGGATTTAAGTTGACAAAATTTAGAAAAAAAAAAAAATTGTCTGTGGTGATAACCGAATCTTTTACACCAATTGCTTATCCCAAAAAAAAAAAAAAAAAAAAAAAAAAAAAAAATTAAAAGAACTAAATTTTCATTCTCTATAATAGGGAGTGGGCGCGGTTGATATTTTCTATTTTCAAAATAAAAGTTTTTACCTTTGCATCTGTTGTAGCTTACAGGTAACAAGGGAAACTTTTTGCTTTTCAAAAAAATTTTCTCAGTTCATGTTGCATTGTGGGCGTGTTCTTTGGCCAAATTAGCCTATATTCAAGACTAATCTTCTTGAACGAATCTCTAATGATTTTGCTTAAGTTCGTCTTTAACGTGAGCCCTAATTTTTGAGACAAGACCAGTATCTACCACAGACAGACATGGTTGCATGGATTCACAGTTTAATCCTCTATCAAGACTCCATAAAACTTCATAGCGTCTTTGGGGTATCCTTTATATTCTTACTCCTTGGTGACGACGTGTATAAAGAAACGGACCTTTACTTCGAAGTTCTTCGAGTGGGCACAAATTTGGTTCGATTTGACCCTATACTAGTAACTGCAACTTGTTGACTAATATGATCAACTGTTATAACACTAGAGTTGGGAACATATGACTGAAGAATGACTTTTGGTAAACACAGTGCAGGTAAGTTTGATTAGTTAGTAGATCAGATCAACGAGATGAATGATTCATAATTAAATTCATATTAGTTTCTCTTAAAATTTTACGACAAATAGACTCATCACAGTAGATTAAAAGTTATTTCTTACGGCCATCGACCTGTAGAGAAAGGGAACCTTATCCTTTTTCATAGTTCTAATTCTCTTTCGAGGATATTTTCTATAGATTTGTAGAAAGGAAAATACAATTTCAAGACTTTTTACTGGCCGTAAGTGTAAACAGTAAAACGCTGTCGAATTACACGATGAATTGATGCTCTATCAGGTTCACATACATATATACGTAATTTTCTATTTTTCACTTCGGTGTTGTTCTTGTAGTTGTAACAGTCTGAGTGTGAGTCGGAATGTCAGTGGCCCATAAATTTAGAAGCCCTCCGAGCCGGCTCAGCAAGAGCACGTACATCGGTCACATATGCCTCCAATTCGGCTAAAGCGGTACTTTCAAATATTAATGCAGTTAATAGTTTTCTATAGACAGGCAGGGGAGATATAGACAACTACGTTACATTAAAAAAAAAAAAAAAAAAAAAAACCATATCCTTCTTTAAGAAGTGTTCCTGCAATGAATCAGTTTGAATTCATTTTGCGTTGAAAACAATTCATTCAAGCCCACTATACACTCTAAGCCAAAAAGAAGGATAATGACACGAAAGCAACTAAATATCGACAATTGAATTTTTGTATGTTTGTGCATATTGAAAGAAAATCTTTCATTTCCCTTTAAATGGAATTTAATAGGATGCGAGAATAGGGCAAAATTTGACATACAAAAATACCATATATATATTAAAAGCAGTATACGCCTGCATGGGTTTTTTTCAATTTGAGTTCGAATGACTTAGCTTGAGTTTTGAATAATATAAGATATACGTATGTATATAATACGAATATTTGTATGAAAATACATTCAATTTTCTTTTATTAAGAAAATATAATGTTTAACCTTGAAATTTTCTTTTAGTTACTGCCTTGAAACATTTTAATAAATGATTTGCTCTTAAAAGAATTCATTTAGTAAATTTAATTTCAATAATAATGTCGTGAGTAGATTGTCGAAAAGTGTACGAGAACAATGCTAAGTATATAAATGTATATATAAAAGAAAATGCATCCTTTAAAGAGACTCTTCTGTATAGTAAGTCAGTAAGTAAGTAAGTAAAGCAGCAAACTTTTGCTTATACTTTACATTACGAACATATTACATTAAGTAGAAATGTTTAGAAAATTGAGATAACTCAAATGAAAGAAACTATAAAGTATTCTAATTAGTTTAACAGGCATTAATAAGAGATATTTGAGTTTTCTCTGAATTCTGACTGCACCAGGGGCATTATAAGAACTTGAGAAGGACTTAATGATATTGTCGATAAATGAGAAATCAGAAATTCTTCCTTAAAAATATTTCCACTACCTTTAGTTGTTATGTAAGCTTTTACCGGAATCACAACGGTTTTCCCGACTTGTCCGACGAGCTTAACCTCAAAGATATATTTACGTATCGACGTCCACACAATTTTGCAGCATTCGTGAATAATTTCTATAACAGCCATGTCTTAGAAAATAACTAAATCGATTAAGAACCTCACAATTATAAAGAATTTGTTTTCTAAAGTGATGAGGTAAATATTAAGTGAAATAGTATGAGAGCGCTAGCTACACATTTTCCAAAGTTGTCTGAGTATTTGTTGTGCGACAAGCGGCAGTTGAGTAATTCCAACGCGGCGCGAACCGGTTTTACAACGTGGATGGATGGACAGACGACTTGTAAATCCCACCACATTCTTTGGTTCGGAGCACCTTACTGTGTCTGGCATTATGATATGCTTGCCAAACATCTGATGGCTGATTCTGCGGATAGCGGTGCATTCACATAGGATGTGGTGTGGGACGTGTCAATCGTTCCTTCGCTGTAAACCGTTATCAGAGGTAATCACGATTTTCAGGTGATGCCAGAGGCAGTTATAACCCTCGCAGAAACCCTTGGCAAAATATAAGGCGCTTCTCCTTTGTTCTACTCTATGCTCTCAACTAAAATATATCAATGTACCTTTAATGACACGACCTTTGGATAGATATAAAATCAAGTATGATTCGAAAGCTATCAACGCTTGCCAGGAAATTAAAAGTATGGAACGAAGTTCTTCAGTTGGAACAGGGACAATGTAAAACTTGCGATTCGGCTTTGCATGAGCCACACACAGCCAATTGAAAGTGTCTCACGCGAATGCCCTCAGTGTTGCTATTCTTATGTTTTTTAATAATTATAGATAAACTTTTCGAATATTATTATCTTAACACTCCTTTCGTCATGAAAAGGGGTTTGAAAATACAGTTTTTTAAGACTGTTGCAGTGGTCTTATTCTTTAATACGATTCCAAGAATCAAAACAAATTTCAGAAACCGTGACGAGGAGAGCACCCGGTAAAAATAAGGAAGTTATATTCAGCTTATTTGAAATGTTTTAATATTCGTCACATGAACTTGTGTCCGTGTGATAGATAAGTAGAATGCAGACCCCTCCAGTCGATATATGAATCGTGTATCGTTGCATACATAACGTATATTATCTATCTTTCAAATTATATTTTTAAACCTATTGGCAACAACTTGTAATCGTGACACCGATGAGTTGAACAGACAGACGGACAACGGAACATTGCTTTCTTGCACGCTGGGGGATCTCCGATGCAGATTTTTGTAAGCTTCGCATATATTTGGCATATCCAATATAACCTCTATAATGATGGGTAAGGAATTTAACACAAGTCGTGAAACATCTTTATAGAGAATTGTAACGGATAGTTCATTATCAATTGAATTTAATGAAAATATGTTAAAAATAGTCAGGTCTGAACCCGTCTATTCGATATTATCTCCTCCTCCGCTTGTTACAACTGATCACTAACATTATTAAATTTCCTTAAAGCACAAATCACTTCTACGAAGAGGAATGACTTTGTTACTCAGAAAATGAATGACTAGCGGCCCGCAATACTTTAAATAATGTACACTTTCATATTGTTGTAAGCTAATTGTTCTTCCAAAAAAAAAAAAAAAAAAAAAAAAAAAATATATATATATATATATATATATGGAAATTAATTTGATACTTGAAAGTCTTTCATACTCGCACTTCAAATATTATTAGTTGCTTTCAAGAGTCCTTGTGATATTCTTCTCATAAACATTATTGATGAAAGCATTCTTTGCTTGCCATTCGTTGCGCCTTAAATACGCTTGATTAGGTACGACGAGAGTAAGCAATCTACTCTTATATCCATCAACGACGGATGGGGGGGGGTATATTCACTTTGTCAAAAGGTTTGCAACGACCGGAAAAAAGGTCATCGGTAATCACTTGCAGAGTATACATATTCTTCATCGGCATCAAATTCTAAATCGGTTTAACCATGTCCGTCCGTCCGTTCGTCCATCCATCTATGTATTGCATGTTGTAAACTTTCTCCAGAACCACATATACTGAAGACAACTCTGTTTTTCAAAAGAAATAAAAAAGTTGGTTTTTTGATCATTA